ACTAAACTGGTGTTCAGAAACCAAGAAAGGAAGGGGTTTCCCCCACTTTTAATATCTAGAGAGACTAAAGAAAAACCCCACAAACCCTTTTAAGTGGAAGGGCTTTGAACTGGAGACCACCAGAACTTGGGGGACAACCTTGAGGCAGGAGGCTGTCTGTGAACACTGTAGCTAAGGGGTACATTGGGAAATTGTTTTAAGATGGTAGGTAATTTCTTAAAAAGGGATTTGATGTAATATGAGCATGTAAAGCCTGAGGTTGCATCTTTATGTACCATTTCATCTCTGAATCTCTGCTTTTTCTATTAAATAAACATTGTTTATTTTTATACCAAGCCGGTCTCTGGGGTGCAAACTGTGTGGAGTGTGTATGCCAAGGTGAGCTAGTACCTGGGGGGCTGGTTTCACACCTTCGGGGGTTGACGTACTAGAGGGAAACAGTCCGAATGTCTGGTCACTAAGAACTTGGGGAGACCTGTGACTGGAAGGGCTATTGGTGTCGCCCTCCAAAGAGTAACTAGGTTGGTGAAAGCCAGGGTGAGACCTTATGCCTGTGGTGCTTGAGAATTTAGTCATAATCCAGTGAATTATACTTGTTCCAAATGGATTAGCAAATGAATACGGTATGATTTGTTGATTTAAGGATATGACCTTTGCATAGTTTGACATGTGATGTTGACAGTTTGTGTTAATGGTTTATAAAGCATTACGTTTTTGAATCTCAATGTCTACTGTCATTAAATAATTGTCTGACCCCTCCCCCATCATTTCCTGCTATTGTGAACATTTAAAATCACTAAAAATGTAAAAAATTGCTTAAAAATAAACATGGCTATCAGCCATCAAAATTATTTAAAAAAAATATCAAATTCTGCCAAGTCTAAGAATAAGCAATGAAATGACTGGGTGTAAGTCTACGAAGAACTGTCAACATGTGAATGGAGCGACCTTGGAAATACAATGTAAGACCAAAGACTGGACCATTAACTTGGCAGGACATGTTAAAACAGCATGATTGGAACTGGAGACAAAGGTGCTGGGGGACTGCAATAAGATCCTCCTCTGTGTGGGTTGGGGGGGCAATCCAGAATATTTAGATAAGGCAGAGAGGTGGTGCTACCAGCATGCAGTCTAGTTCCCAGGCCGGGGCAAAGCAGGGACCACCTAATTGAATACGCAGAAGCTGACAAATTAGGGGAGAAACGTGTTGGGTTTGCTCTTCTCTTCTAACGTAGTGTCCCTGTCTTCCAGTTGACTAATAAATGATGTCATTTTGAAACGGCTGTCCTGTGTCTCTGGAAACATCCGTTGGTTGCAAGGCTCCTAGGAGGGTAAGTCTCCAACAGAGATGCAAGCTCATTTGGACCTGCTAAAGGAGCCATGCTGAGAAACAGAGGTGCTGAAGCCAGAGACACAGTCTTGGAATAGCACAGCTCCGGGGCTTGCCCTTGTAAAAGGTAGAGGCCCAGGGCCTAGCACTAAGGACACACTCCCAGAGAGACTGTACGAAGGTCAGAGGTATAGCATGCCCCGTGGATACGTGACAACTGGGGTTAGCAGTAGAATACTAACTGCAACAGCAAAACACCTAAAAAGAGCAGTTAGAGGAACAGCAGGGGGAAAGTAGTTTACATTCTTTGGGGTAGAGAGAAGGAAAGGACTGACAAGGAAGAGGAGATAGTATCAGCTCCCTAAGAAACAGATTATACAGCTGTGCAGAGAGAGAGTTAAACTTTAAGAAGTTAACCAAAGCACAAGTGGTTGACCTGCTACATAAAGACAATCAGGCAAAGAACCTCGATCCTAGGGTGACCAGGTGTCCAGTTTTTGACTGGAACACCCAGTTGAAAAGGGACCCTGGCGGCTCCGGTCAGCACTATCGACCGGACCATTAAAAGTCCAGTCGGCGGTGATGCGGAGATAAGGCAGGCTAGTCCCTACCTGTCCTGGCTCCGCGCTGTGCCCCGGAAGCGGCCAGCAGGTCTGGCTCCTAGACGGGGGGCACATGGGTCTCCGCACACTGCCCCCGCCCCAAGCCCTGGCTCCGCACTCCCATTGGCCAGGAACCACGGCCAATGGGACCTGTGAGGGCAGTGCCTGTGTAACCCACAGGCCTCCTGGGTATGGTGCTCTGTCCCATCTAATGGCATTGAGATCACTTAGAGATTAATGAGTCTGCTTTACAGCCTTAGCTAAGAGCCACATGGCTTTTAGCTCATGCAGCAGAGGCTCATGCATTTAGCTCCAAAGTTCCCAGGTTCAATCCTGCCCACTGACAATCAGGGTCTGTCGGTGTTACACCTGAGGGTGAGAGCAGCGTGCAGCATCACCTGCCGTGCCTCCACCTAGGAGCCAGACCTGCTGGCTGCTTCCGGGGCGCAGTGCGGTGCCAGGACAGGCAGGCAGCCTGCCTCAGCCCCCCGCTGACTGGGAGCTGCCAGAGGGAAGCCTGTGCCCCTGCCCCAGCCCCCCCAAACCCGGAGCCCCCTCCCACACCCCAAACCCCTCATTCCTGGCCCCACCCCAGAGCCTGCACCCCTTCTTCCAGGGCTAGAACCCCAGGACTTATTCTCCCACTTTGGTTTTCTCCTCCCCTCCTCCATGCTCCCAGAGAGCAACTGCAGATTCTGTCCCTGCAGCCTCTTTCTGCTGCAAACTTCCTGTCTTTATACTCCTGGCCAACTGGGCTTCTTGTTCAGTTAGACATGACTCTTCCTCCAGATGCAGCCAGGTAACCTAACTGGCCCCTCAAACCCACATTAACCCCTTCACAGCCTGTGGGGTACACACCACATTACAGAGATCAGGAAACTGAGGCACAAGCAGCCCCGTGGCAAGATAAGCAGGGAGAGACCACAGAATGCCAATTCCACAGAGAGCATAGATGCTAAATAATTGCCCCAGTTTAAGGAGACATAGCACTCCCTTGGATCCATGATACCTCAGTTACATCAGGGCCAAGGCTAGCCCCTTGGGTTTATTTTAGCACCCAAGCTTGTCATGTAAACAGAGATCAACACATGTGTGCAGAGGGATTTAGCATCCAGTATTTCGTGGGCTCTCTGATTCACATGGGGAGCTCCCCAGAATAACGGGGCTTGATGTAGCCTGAAGAAAATGGATCTAATAAATTTAGTAGCTGGAGGATGAAGTTGTTGCTTTGGGGGAAGGACCAGTTTCAGGGGGAATAAACACCTGCATTTGAGTGAGCATCTGAGGAAGATTAAAAGTGTCTCAAAAGTGACGTGTGGCAGAGATCACAATAGTGCAACTGGAAAACTCTTAAAACTCTCTGCATGGGAGAAATCCCAAAGACTGAAACAGAAACTGGAGCAGAGTGTCAGATAGGTTAAAGCACTGTAGCTCTGGTACAGGTTTAATAACGGGGCTTCCGAGCCCCTATCAGACACAGCTACTAAGGGGAAACAGTGTCACCGTCAACTGTGTTAAACAAAGCAGTGCTAGCAAGGGCCTTCTCCTCCTTGCCCCCTGCTCTCACCTTCACCCCTCCCGCCTGCCACCTCTTCCCCCTGCTCCCACCTTCATCCCTCCCCTCTCCACCTCTCCCCGCTCGCCTCCTGCTCCCACCTTCACCCTTCCCCGTTACCTCTCCCCCCTGCTCCCACTTTCACCCCTCCCCTCTCCCTGCTCTCCCACTGCTCCCACCTTCACCC